TAAGTAAATCACAAGTATAAATATTAAAAAGTATCAGAGAGTTTACTGTTCCAAGTTGGAGACCGTCATTCAACGCATATGTCAATATACTTTTCACTTTTTCTGAGATGTATATATGAACATTTTTCTACCGTTTATCATATTCCAGATCATTCTTACCATGTGGTCTGGGAAGCGTCTCTTCAATAGTCGAAAAATCAAACCCTCGAACCAGACTGAATCGAATGCCTTTTCAAGGTCAATCAGGCAGGCGGGCGCAAACTTTCTCAAATTCAAGGCGTCACTAATATCCGAAGTGAATTTATTAATTGCATGTATAGTGGATGTCTTTCTGCGGAATCCAAACTGTTCAAAAGGGGACAGTTTGGTTTTCATTTGCTATTCTTGTTATATTTGTGTTTACGACACTCTCAAAATAACTTTGGTAGTTTTCCGATTTTTTGGGAAAAAACTATTGTTGAGAGCGTTATTGAACATAATTACTATAGATAATATTATATTATGTGGTAAATTTTTTAACGATATATTTAGAATCAAATCGATTCCAGTGGATTTATTATTATTTAGTTTATTTACTATTTTTTTAATTTTAGAAATGAACCAATAGGGTAGCTTTTTTACCACCTAGCTTATTTTTGTTAACGAAGTCGCTCACCGTCGATTTGACCGTTTTCTAGACCTTGACTGTTAGATGTTTTTGTTTTATTATTAATATCGGCCAAATGTTTTGCCAGCATATTGACCTTATCCCTTTTGTCCGAGATTAGTATGTTATTATCCACCATTAAAAATTTACTAACATCTACATTAGAATTTTGAATCAAATTTACGTTATTTGTTGGAATTCTAAAAGTTGGTATTGATAGACGATTGTTACTTCTAAATATTGGATTAATCTGTGGAAACGTATTTTCTGAGTCGTGTGGTTTTATTTTAGATATTCTCTTAAACCAGTACTCGTTGACCAATTTATTAAATTCCCTATAAAATTCCTTTTTTATTTTCTTTAGCGCTTCTTTATAGGGTTTCAATAATTCCTCATCCCAATGAAATCTATATGTTAACCTTTGTATTTCCGTTAATAATAATGTAGAAAGGTTAATGAAAAAGAATTCACAAATTAGTAATTAATTATAATAATTCAATATATCTTTATTCTGGGATAATTGAACAAGATTGCACAATATTCTATGATAACAGTAAATTGGAATCGCTATGTAGACTTCGCGTGTAGTTATATAAAAAGAGAATAGATCGATGGATCCTTCAATTAGGTTCGTGGTTGCGAAGGGCCCTGATTTGAGTGAGTCCTGTGTGACGGGCTAGGCCCAAGCATCCCCTGCCTGGACTCATCGTGCGCAACCTCTTTCGCACCATTCAATGCGCAACGCTTATTATAAAGAGGCGGAAAGAATTTGGAGTGACTAGTTCCGTCGATAACTCGGCATGCTCCCTGCCTCCGCCTCAGGTCTCCTTCATGTACCAAGCTGACCATATTTGGTATAAGAGACCTTCAACTTGGCATTTGGTCTTGACCTCCGCCACAGAATCCAATAAGTATTGGTGGATCATTCCTTTACAAGGACTTCTGAGACTCGATCCTGAATTCACAAGGCTCAATAGCTGGCTAACTTACCGATTATTCAGTGGCATCAAACGTGACCCACTTTTTGAGAATATCCAGCCTTGGTACGGTGAGCATCGAAACCCCTTTTTTGATTCGTCTGCTCATTGTCGATGGCACCCTTTGCTGCCTACCTCATTTCAGCCAGGTTGAGTTGATTCAAGGTGTTTTGGATTTCAGATAGCAGTCTAGAATCGGTTGACTTCGAGGTTTGAACCTTAATAACAACTGTGTAGGACTCATGCGACTCGTTCTATTTATTGTGCAGTTAATGGCACTTTGCACCTTTTTGACCTTTTCATTCTATCTATTCTCCGGTTTTGTCAGCGCAGATAGTTGGGAGGGAACTAAGGACAGTGCGATATAATCTTTCGCATTGTCCATTGGCACGTGGCGTTGCTACTGCGTTGAGCACGTGCTTGATCCCATATTCAGTACAAAAATCCGCAAAACGTTTTGATATAAACGCTGTGCCCTTGTCACTTATTATACGAGATGGTACGCCGAATATTCCAATTAGTTGACCGAATGCCCTTAAAACTCCCTTCACGGAAGCACTACGAGTAGGTTCGAGAATGTGAAACTTTGTGAAACCGTCAATAATAGAAAGCAATTGTGTAAGTATTGGTTGATCATTCCTTTACAAGGACTTCTGTTTACACTCTTTACAAATGGACTAATATGATCAATGTGCAATGTATGAAAGGGAATTGATATTTTCTCTATAGGATGTAAAAAACCCGGCTTTTTACCCGAAGTTGATTTGTAATATAAACAATTAAGACAGGCGTTAACATATTTTTTACGAATCTTTTTATTCCCTTAAACCAGTAATTTTTTCGCACCTTTTCAAGGGTTATCTCAAAGGCAAAGTGACCTTGATCATCATGGCATAATTTAACGATGTTAAATTTCGACATTTTTGGAACAAGCCATCTATTTCCCCCCTTAGTGGGCTGAAAAACTACCTCTCCCTTTAAGTCAAATTGCTAGAAGTATTGCTTTGTTTCCCGCTTTAATTCTCCGGAATTGAGAATTTTCGCAATTATCTCAATGTCTGGACCTTGAACTTGAGCGGCCTTAATCCATTCAACTACGATAATCTCTACCGAAAAACAATCAATCGGGTTAAGACTAAAATAATCTACGTAAGACGCCTGTGTACCCGGACGATAAACAATTACAAAATTGAAATCCTGCAGGTATATCCACCATCTTGTCACACGAAGTTGTATATCCTTTCTATTAACTGTAGCTCTGACAGCACTGCAATCGGTGACCACAGTAAACTTAATCCCTAACAGGTATACTCTAAAGGCATTCAATCCCTCAACCACTCCCAGTGTTTCCAGATCGTAGGAGTGATACCGCTGTTCCACAGGCGTCGTTTTACAGCTGTAATAAGCAACAACACGCTTCCCGTTTTCATGTTTTTGAATTAGTATCGCGTCAATACCTATTGCGCTAGCATCAGTGTGAACTTCAGTTTCGAGGTCCGGATCATAAATTGCCTATACAGGTTTAGTAGACAATTGCTCTTTTATGATCCTCAAAGCCTCTTATTCTTTTTCCCCCCAGACCCAAACAGCATTCTTTTGCAACAAAGTTAAGGGACTAACCTTTTGTGCAAAGTTAAGAATAAATTTACGGAAATAACCGGCTAATCCCAAAAACTGACGAACTTGCTTCATGTCCCTCGGGTCGGCCGCGTTTAGAACCGCTTGAACCTTGTGTTCCCCTGGTCTTACGCCTTTACTCGAAATTTCCCTTCCTAAATAATATCAATTTTGCTTTGGAAAAATCTGCACTTTTCAAGATTTAATGTTAGATTATTTTCCAAGAGCAGTTTCAAAACAACTTCTAAAATATCGAACGCCTCCTCAACATTCTTAGCGGAAATTAATACATCGTCGAAATATATTAATGCATGACCCTTTATGACCTTATTCATTATTATTTGGAACACCGCGCGTGCGTTAGTAAGGCCAAAAGCTACTCGCAGAAACTTCCAGTGACCATCGGGTGTAGAGATTGCAGTGTTTTTTACGGAATCCGAGTGCATCGGAATTTGATGGAACCCGGACTTTGAATCGAGTAGGATAAAAATAGATTTCCCGACCAGTTGATCAATATGATCGTCAATTACGGGTATAGGGTAATGAATACGTTTCGTGATGCGATTAACTCCTTTATAGTCAACCGCTAACCGTATTCGTCCACCCTTTTTCCTTACCGGTACAGCGGAACTTGAATAATCAGAATTACTGGCGCGGATCATTTTATTACGCTCAAGTTCCAGTGTTATATTCTTAACTTCTTTGCGTTCATCCTTAGCCATTCGATATGGTTTACTATAAATCGGCTCGTCTGAGATTAACTCGATTTTCATCTCTACGGCGGTAGTCACGCCTAATTCCTTCATTTCGAGAGCTATAGTTTTCCGATATTTATTTAGTAAATTGATTAGCCGATTTCTTTCGGACAAATTTATTCCCTCACAAATGACATCTGTTTTTTGTATAATCCTTGGCAAATCCGAATTTACCAGATTAACATCTAATTTTTCTTCGACGGACACATTTTTCTTTAAAGTAAAAGTGACTCCTTCAGGGTCCGTTATCGTGACCGTTCCCATTTTTGAAAGCAAATCACGCCCAACCAAAATTTCGGTTGAGAGTTCATTTTCAGGCACTATATAGACCCTTACCTTAAACGGTATATTGTCAACATGTATTTTTAATCTGGAGTAACCGAGACAACTATTATTGAGCATTCGCTACCTAAGTCAACAATGCAAGATCTTTCCTCTCTCTCTACCCCACACATCTTAAGAGGTTTATTTACTTTACTCCTACCCTCGACCTGCAATACACTTAAATTAGGGTCTTCGGTATTGTTGGTTAGTCATGCTGATTTTGTTTCCCTTTTTCCTTCTCTTCCGAGTTTTTTTTTTGTAACATGTATCTTCGTGTGGTCCGGAAATCCACAAAAATTACATTTTGGTTTATTACTGAGTGGACTCGCATTTTTAGTTTTGGGGCCGGACCGATTTTGATTTTCAAACATCTGACATTTGTTTCTTGTATAATCCTTGGCAGATCCGAATTTACCAGATTAACATCTAATTTTTCTTCTACGGGCACGTTTTTCTTTAAAGTAAAAGTGACTCCTTCAGGGTCCGTTATTGTGATCGTACCCGTTTTTGAAAGCAAATCACGCCCAATTTGAAGCTTGTAACAATGTCAAACTTTCCCTCGTTCCACTAGCTTACGTGCTGCCTGTGTTGGATCTACTTTACACCTGAGTTAGATATTTTATCTGAAATATTATTAAAACATTCACTAATTTGAATAAAACAAAACTTTGTTTGTTATAGATACCACAATATTGTAGAATTTGGGAAAAGTTTAAATCAAAAAACGAAAAACATGAAATCAATTGAGCCAGACTACAGATATAATTTAGGAGAAACATTATTAGCTGTGAATTCTGTTAAGCTTAGTACAATTGCTACAGGAATTGTTATTGTTACTGAGAGAGGTTTATACATATTTCATGATGTTAATTTATCTCTTAAGCATGCAAAGCGAATTTCATTTAATGTATTTTGTGTACATACCTACATTGTTGGTAAGTAAGTTACGTAATTAATTTTTTACTGTCATTTTGGACATTTAATGCTAACGCATAGTACGTGATTCCAGCGCAAAAGTACTTTTACACCCGCTTTTTTTTAATTAAACGGGAGCAAAATACTTCTCCGCTCACTTGCGTCTAGCAAAATAAGTAGATCTAATGTTAATTCCAAACATTTTAATCCTAACTTTGGTTTCAATTAACTTCCCAAATTTTTTACATTGTAATCAAAGAAATCCCCAAACAAAAACTTTTAAGTTCATACGTTAGTTATTACAAATTTTTAATAAATGATTAAATTTCCTAGAAACTTGCTCTCTAAATTTGAATCAGCGATAAGTATACCACTGGTACCAATCAGCGGATATACGCTGAAAAATCAGTGAAATTCCACTAATTCATCAGTGCATATAAGCTGATTAGAATCAGTGGTATACTTATAGCTGAGAATCAGCGTGATTCCGCTGATTCAAATTTAGTGAGTGTTATATGGGTTTTTCTGGAGTCGCTTAATACGAATGTGAAGTGGTCCTATAAAAATAGTATATTTTTACCCTTGAAGAAAGAAAATTAAGAGAACGTTATTCCAAAATGTTTTATCTTTTATATTATTTTTCAAGACTTTTATACATTTATTTTCTTGTACTCCAGCAAATGAAAACTATAATTCATTTGAATTGAAATGAATACATCCTGGGCTTCAGTGAATCCCGCTTAGCTACAAATTTGAATTGGAGCTATGTTGCAATTCTCTTGAATTCGACAAAGCTGTATTCAACTTCCAAACTCTCTATTCATACTAATTCAATGAACAAATTTTTTAGCTTTAATCTTTTTCAATTCGTCAGCACAAATTCAATAGACAAATTGGTCATTTTGTTCGAATTCTCAACCAATAAAAACTCATTGGTACGAATTGAATTGAAAATACAAAGGGCTTCACTGAATCTTGCTTATAGCGAGATGTACAAAATAAAAATAAAATTTTGTTATTTTAGAACCTGATGGTAAATTACTGTCTGTGTTAGTCACGGAGTCAAAATCAATAAAAGTATATGAAAACTTATCACTAAAGTGGTCAGCCGAAGTATCTTTTACACCTGTAGCAGTTGCAATTGTCCGGTCACAGGTAATAAATAAAAATCTTTTTTATAAGGTGTTTATTTTTTAATTTGTACGCAGTCTTTACTAAACATTGAAAGCGCAAATGGCAAATTCTAATCAGATGGTCCATACAACTTTTACTTTAGTCGACTCATGCTGCTTTGCAAGATTTATGTTAATTAAGCTATTTAATAATATAATTTTTTAGGATATTAAAGGTCTAATAGTAATGTTATCAGAAGATGGAAATTTAGAATTAGGATATTTAGGTTCTCATCCATCACTTAATATTGCTCCATCTATTAATCGTAAGCGATACAACTATGTGGATGCAGAGAAACAACTTCTACATCTGCGTACAGAAATTAAAAATTGTCTCCTTCATGGTATGTAAAGTTAAAATCATTTTAATGATTTTATGAGTTTACAGTAAAAATTTAAGGGGACATTCCAGTTCAAAATGGGAAAAAAGGAAGGCTTTTTTAAGATGTATTTCTAAATAAACCATGACATTTATTCAGAAATTTTTGTTTAATGTTATAAATAACTTATTGAAGAATATGAAAAAAAATTTTCACTTGTAGTCCAAGATGGCGGCGATATACAACATTTTCAAAAAATTGTGGGATTTTAATTTAGAGTGTACTTAAATATTCGGGGCCTTCCGTTTAATTGATCCAGACCTGTAATTTTTGCGCATGCGTTGAGTCGGAATGTTGAAATGTGTGTGTGCGAACAGTTAGTCACGTTTTCACGTCGTTTTGATACACATTGTAATAATTGTTTTCTCTAAATGTAATAAATTAAATTAATACTCCTCTAAATCCCTGTGTCTACTCTCAATTTCCTACAAATTGGGGGCTCGTAGCAGGATTTGAACGGACATAAAATGAGTCGAAAACGTGAAATTTAACGACACGAATAAAAAGAAAAAACTACGACGAAAAAACGACGAAAGGCAAACCACGCCGACGACGAGAAAAAAGTGTACGACGCTAACGATGAAATAAAACGAGATAATTACGAGTGAATTTAAAATAATACGGTGATTAAATAAAGAAGTGCTAAAATGGAAAATCTTGCCCAAATAGTGCATGTAAAGAATAAACTCAAAACGGCATCGAGGCCTGAGATTCTCGCGTTGCATAGACTTTTGTTCGAGGAAGATGGCGACCGCGGTAATCGGCAGCGTCTGAGCGAATTCACTGGTTTCGTATTTGGAATTGATTCGGAGGAATATCGAGCAAAAATGGATTACGCTGTTAGATTGGGAATAGGTGATCTCATTTCGATATATAATGTTCTTGGGTTAGATTACACGGGAAATAAAGAGCAATTGCGCGAAAGAATTATTTTGGGACTGATGGATCTAAATTCATTAGTGTTAGTGAACAATGAGGGTGACGAAGAGGAAGTGAATGATGGTGGGGAGAACGGTGATGGTGGGAACGAGATTCAAGGTGGGAACGGGAGAAACGCTGAAAACGGAGAAAAAGCCGTGAACGGAGGAAACGGTGATGTCGAACGAGAACAATCTGACGAGAACGAAGAATCGGAAGGAGAGTTAAGTGACGAAGGTGCAAGTGTAAGAAGAGTGAGGGAAAATAATTCTCAAGTGAAGTTTATGCTTGGATATAAAGATATCGAGGATTCAATCAGACCATTTAGTGGTAGTGACTCGTACCCTGTCGAAAGATTCGTTGCTGATTTTGAGGATTCGGCCGAAATGTTTGGTTGGGGAGATTTGCAAAAAGTGGTTTTCGCCAAAAAGTCTTTACGCGGTATAGCAAAATTATTTATGCAAGGGGAAAATTCTATCAAGTCGTGGAAGCAGTTTAAAACGGCCCTGTTGGAAGAGTTCTCAACTAAAATCAGTAGTGCTCAACTACATAAAATGATGGAAAAGCGTAAAATCAAAAAAGATGAATCAGTGTACGAATACTTTTTATCAATGAAAGAACTCGCTGGAAGAGGCTCGATAGATGATAAAGCGTTATTCGAGTATACGATCGATGGGATTAACGACGATGTAAACAACAAAACAGTTCTGTTTGGGGCAAAGACTGTCAAGGATTTCAAAGAAAAGTTAAAAGTTTACGACAAAATTCGAAAAGGTGCTCAAGAGAAAATCAACAAGTTCGAGAAACCTAAAGACGATTCGACGAAGGCTCCAGCTGTTCTGAAGAAGACGACATCGAAAGAAGATACGAAGACGAAAGGCGGCTCGAAAGGCGACGTGGTACGTTGTTTCAACTGCGGAGACATCGGGCATCATTCTCGAGAGTGCTCACAAAAGGATCGCGGCAGAAAGTGCTTCAACTGCAATGAATTTGGACACGTATCAGCGGCGTGCAAAGCGGAGCGACGAAAAAGTAAACCCACGGTAAAAACGTCAGCTGATATCAATCTGGTTTTAACGCCGAATAAGGGCGGTGTGCTCAAAGAGGTAAATATCGATAATTTTAAATGTACTGCTCTTGTTGATACGGGGAGTCCAGTTACTCTGGTGCGTGAACGTGTTTTTACTCAATTGGACTCTCAGAAACTGATTAAATCAAGACAATTGTTTAGTGGTTTTGGTAAAGGGGAATCATCTACTTTGGGGTATTTTCAGGCAATTGTGTTTATAGATGACGAAGATTATCCGCTAACATTGTATGTTGTTTCAGATGATGCAATGAATGATGATGTTGTTATTGGTCGAGACATTTTGCAATTTGCCGAGCTTGTAGTTAATGATACGTGTACGATTATTTAAAAAAATTCCGATTTTATTTTTAGCTTACATTGAAATTCCGGAAGAAGTCAAATCAGACTTAACTGAGATTCCCGATCCAATTATTCGTAAAAAAGTCAAATGTCTTATCGAAAATTATACACTGAATAAAATCAAGACAACAGACATTAAGTTGTCTATTACGTTAACTGACGAAACACCGATTAGTTCGAAACCACACAGATTATCCATTGAAGAAAAAAAAAGTAGTAGGGAATCAGGTTAACACGTGGTTAGAAGACAATGTAATCGAACCTTGTAGTGAGGAATTCGCGAGTAGTGTCATCAAAAAGGACACATTTCCGCCAAGAGAACCGAAGATCTGATCAAAGCAGCTTATTTTATCCCAGACGTTAAATCGAAAATCGAGAAGTCAATTGCGAATTGTTTAGTGTGTATTCTTGCCAATAAAAAGCAGGGAAAGCAAGAAGGATTTCTTCATCCGCTGACGAAGCCAGATATTCCTCTACACACTTATCACGCTGATCACCTGGGTGCACTTGAATCTACGAGTAAAAAATACAATCACATCTTCGCCGTAATTGATTCCTACACGAAATTTGTTTGGTTATATCCTACCAAATCCACGACCACGCGAGAAGTTATTTCGAAAATATGGATTTACAGAAAAACACGTTTGGAAATCCTTGTCAAATAATTACGGACAAATGGACCGCATTCACATCGCTCGAGTTTAAACAGTATTGTGAAGAAGAGGGCATCAAGCACTCAACGATCACCACGGGACTTCCAAGGGCGAATGGTCAAATCGAAAGGATCAATAGAACAATCATTCCAGTCCTGACGAAATTATCGATTAATGATCCGACAAAATGGTATTTGCACGTGAGTCGATTGCAACAAACCTTGAATTCCACTTATCAGAGAAGCATCAACACCACTCCGATCGAATTGTTAATAGGAGTAAAGATGAGGACCAAAGAAGACTTGTTGCTGACTTTAATGCTTGAAGAAGCATTTAAATCTCAATTTATTAACGATCGTGATGAACTTCGAGAAAAAGCCAAGCAGCAAATTTTGAAAACTCAAGAAGAGAACCGCAAAACCTACAATCTTCGACGTCGCGCACCGAATAAATACAAGTTGAACGACATTGTAGCAATTAAGCGAACACAGATGGGTCCGGGTAGGAAACTGCGAGCGAAATTTTTAGGGCCTTATCAGATCGAAAAAGTAAAATACAATGATACGTACGATGTTAAGCGAATTGTACCAGGAGATGGACCAACGAATACTAGTACATGCGCTGAGTTCATGAAACCGTGGATTTTTGCGAAATAATCATCCGGGTCGAATGATTTGCAGGATGGCCGATTGTGGAATTTTAATTTAGAGTGTACTTAAATATTCGGGGCTTTCCGTTTAATTGATCCAGACCTGTAATTTTTGCGCATGCGTTGAGTCGGAAATTTTGGAATGTGTGTGCGAACAGTTAGTCACGTTTTCACGTCGTTTTGATACACATTGTAATAATTATTTTCTCTAAATGTAATAAATTAAACTAATACTCCTCTAAATCCCTGTGTCTACTCTCAATTTCCTACAAAATGTTCACTTTTTCATTTTGGGGATCGATTCCGAGATTTCTACAACAGATAGAGACATAAAATAAAAAACATTTTCCTCGTCAGATATTTCTCTATGGATGGAACCTCAAAAACTGGAAAATTTCGTTTTCCCCTTTTTTCTATAACAAAAATTCTGAATAAAACCATGTGTTTTCTTCAAGTTTTGGAAAAACGTACCCTAAAAAAAGAAGAGGACGAAAATTCCATTTTTTTAGGTTCCATTCATAGAGAAATATCTAACAAAGAAAATGTTTTTATTTTATGTCTCTATCTGTTGTAGAAATCGCGGAATCGATCCCCCCATGAAAAATAAACATTTTTGAAAATGTTGTACATCGCCGCCATCTTGGACTTTTTTTCACATTTTTTTTATATTCTTCAATAAGTTATTTATAACATATAAACAAAAATTTCTGAATAAGTGTCATGGTTTATTTAGAAATACATCTTAAAAAAGCCTTCCTTTTTCCCCAATTTGAACTGGAATGTCCCCTTAACATGCTTGACTAAATTAAAATTATTTAAAATTTATTTATCTTACAAATAGTTTGCAAGTATAAAGATATAATATTCTGATAAGATATGTTGATATAAAATGAATATCTTAAGCTTAACTCGTTGTAACTAAATGTTTTATTTACATTTCAGGTAATAGTTCAAGTACCAGTGCATCTTTAGATAGTTGTTTAAAGTTTAGTATTGATATTAAAAAAAATTATGATACTTCTAACAGAAAGGTTTTAAAAATAAATAATAAAGAAAAAGAGTCAGAATTTAACATTGTTATGAATCTGTATTCTGATATCGTTATTAACAATATCCAATTGTATATTGAAGTTTTTAAGCCGTGGTATTTACAACAAGATAACTTAGCCTTAATGTCTTTAAGTAAGTAATTCAAAGTATAGTTAAATAATATTTACAGTATAACAAGTGTTGTTCATGAGTGCCTTAGGTTTGCCTATAATTTTATTTTTATTCTTTCAGGTGGACAGTTCAATTCTAAAATACCTCTTGATTTAGAAAGCAATGCAATGATATTATCACCTGAAGTGGATATTACAATAACATATGAAATCGATCAATTTGATATATATATTTTGAAGGCTGCCTATTTACTGGATTTAAAGGCTATATGGAATATCTGTCACCAACAAGTTCTAGGAAAATTCAATACAGCAATTCAGCTAGGTTCATCCGGTCGAGAACTGTGTGCTAAAATTCTAAACGGTAATTCATATTATTAAATAGTTATTATCATTATTTAAGATGTGTTGCGACTGCTTTCTCAGCCACCGACGCTTGGGTAGTTTATCACACTTGTAGCAAGCTTGCTACATGCATTGCAATCTTGCGACATCAAAAAAAATGTAAATAGGGCGGTGACTACCACGTATGAGCCACAAAAAAAGGAAGCCCTTTTGAATACTATCGGAGGTGACTCTAGCAAACAGGTATTGACCGCGTAGGTGCCCACACAGCACCCAAAATTCCCTGACACTTGACAGAACCTCATACGGCGAGGTTAGGAAACTTCAGTGGCAAGGTTCATACAAGTTTGTGTCGATGTTTAAATGTCCACATGAGAAGAATATTTACACGAAACTTTGAGGAAATATTACACTGTAAATATTCACGTGCAATCTTCAGTTAATGTTGTGTCAATATTCACCTATACTTATATTAGTAAATGAAATTTTTATAACTTGTATAATCGATGCAAATTGTTGTTTTTAATATACTTTTGAATAAATCTTTTCTTTTAATTACATTTATATTAAAAATAAATAATAATAAAATAAAGAAAGATAAAAAAAGTTTTCCTTATTAAAATTATGATTAAATTAATTTAATTGAATTTAATTAAAAAACAACAATTTGCATCGACTATACAATTTTAATTTATCTCATTAAACAATCTTCAAAAATTCAATTGTTAAAAAAATGACAACATAGAAACTATATAACTTATTAATTAATTAATTTTTCTATTTACAATTGAAAAAGAGAATTTTTAAAAAGGAGAAAGTATGAATGCTGCCACCTACCATGCAAAGTCGGCGGCTCAACTTCTTTATCGACTATCAATTTAGATGTCACTAGAAAATTCCCTAGCCTGTCAAACTCACTTACGCGAACATTTTACACTTTAAACTTTATTTATTTAATAATAACACGTTAATTTATCACAAATACAGCACAAATCTATCACTAAATACTTTTATTATTCAATTCAATTACACTTTTCCACAGTTTCCACTCAGTTTCTACACAATTTTCACTCCAACTAAATGTTTAACCAATGTGTAACGAATGTACAACGAATTCAGCGTACATTCCGATTTCGAGATCCGCCAGGGAAGTTTCAGGGAATTTTGGGTGCTGTGTTGGTGATATTTAAAATCAAGAGACAGTGTTACTGTAATTGTGGCTCTCATTTGTTATTCAAAGTTTCTGAAAACCAAGTAAAAGACGCCTTTTACTAGGAACAGGTCCGTCAATTTGTCAACATTAGTCTACCCAGCAATGCAGAAACTCCAGCTGCTTTCTCTGCTGCTCTTCTGATATGTTCCCAGCAAGTCATTTTAGCGTCAACCATTACTCCAACGTAATAATAATAATAATAAAAATAATTTTTTTTATATAAGGAGGAAACGTGGAAATGCTATTACGTATGGTGTGGGACTCGGGCCTAACTTGCCCCATACCCACTAAAACCGCAGGAACAGTTTCCCCTGAAAAACCCCCTCTTTCTTTGCATAACCAAGACCACCGGCATCCGCTTGTGCATTACTTCAGGGGTTCGGTATATAGCAAATTTAGGCCGTACTTCGACTCATATTTTTCTCTTTTTAAATGCTTGGATTTTTTAATTTCTCTTTGTCGGCCATTCAGCTTCGTCGTTCGGTTAATAAATAATTAAAATGATATTTTTTGGTCATTTTTTGTTAAAATAATAAATGTAAATAAAACGTCGATAGTTAAGTAAAGACCTTAACAGTAATAGTTAAAAATTTATTAAAAATTAATTAAGTTCCATGTCCTCTTTTTTGCGTTGTAAAATGTTTTCAGCATTGTAAGAAATGCTGCAAATACAAATTGTAAGACCTTATTCCATTTTTGTAGACTCTGCAGCATCTTCTGGATTAGATTTTCTGGCGTAAAATACTAAAATACCGTTACTTCTCTTTAGATCTTCTCTTTCTACATTTCATCTTTCACAATGAAAAAATGTATGCTCTAACAACCGGCGCTGGTTACTTTACCCATTTTAAAAAGATATGCTCGTAAGAGACATCAAGTTTATAACAGAATAAAGCGATACAGACCTTCAACTAGTAGAACTTTTATTAGGTCGAAAAATCAGAGCAGCACCGAAAAAAATTTTCGTATGCACAAAAAAGAATCAGAACAATAGTTGAATCCTACACCAATTATTGCATAGCGCGTTGTTGTGATATTGGGACAAATATTTAAATAAGGACGTTTACGGTGCAGGGGAGGAATACCACAGTGCCGGCGCTGCTGGAAGTAAGGAAGTTGGCTTCCCAGCGTCGAAATTCAGTGACAAAATTGCTGCAGTATTGGACATCTTGGGTACTGCAGCATCCAATGCCACAAGCAGGATGGACTATGGAGGAATCCAGTTACTTAAGGATTTCCAAGTCCGTTTGGAAAGACTTGGAAGTAGAAGAGGAAGCGCTTTAAGCGTTTCTAGTGTCAGCAGCGAAAGAAGTTTGATTCCATTTGACGTGGGAGGTAAAAAGGTGGAGAGGCAGCGCGACGAGCCTTCTGAGTGTGTGAAGTACCAATAGCGGAAGTTCCGTCTTCAGCCCGATTCACTCTGAGGTGGATGATAAGGCGATCCTCGAGGATCAAGAAGCCTGTTTAAAGCATAGAAAGGAGGAGGCGGAGTGTCTCATTAAGATTGAGGAGGAGGTTAAAAAGATGCTGAAGTCTTGCGACATTCAGAGGTATGTGAATAGGACGGTAAAGGATGGTCTCAAAATCATCCAGGTCCTCTTAAGTGAAGCAAAGGCTGATAAGTCGGATTATGCAGGCCTCGGACCCACGCCACTATTTTTATATTTTTCAGTTGATGCCACTACTATTTTCAAAAAAATACCACTAATGACACTTTTTTTGTAAAAAAGTCTTCTCAAGGCACTATTTTCTAATCAGATGTTCAATAAGTCAGTAAATGTACTTGTTGCAAAGACGGTAGGAAGTATGGTTATCTACTTTGTATACCAAGAGTTGAAAAGATTTGTATTTTGGACGTTATTCGGGGGTTTTAGGGGTCGCTGATTAAGAATCTGAAGTCAGTTTTTCGAAATTCAAAAAGGCGGATCCAATATGGAGGACGAATTTTTAAAAAATTGTTGGATTTTTATGAATCTTGATACCGAGGGTTTTTCGTGGTCGCTAATTGAGAATTTGAAGTCAGATTTTTATTATTATAAAAATCTGATTTCAAATTCTGGGGGTGGGCGGTTGATACCGAGGGTTTTTTGTGGTCGCTGATTGAAAAATTGAAGTCAGCTTTTTATAATTATAAAAATCTGACTTTAAATTCGCAATCAGCGACCACAAAAAACCGTCGGTATCAAGTTTCATAAAAGTCAAACAATTTTTTAAAAATTTGTCCTCCATATTGGATCCGCCATTTTTAATTTTGAAAAACTGACTTCAGATTTTTAATCAGCGACTCCAAAAACCCACGAGTAACAATTTTCAAGCCGATCAGAATGATTTTTATTTTTTCGTCCGCCATATTGGATCTGCCATTTTGAAAAGCTAACTTCAGATTCGTAATGAACCCCCAAGTAACAAATTCCATAAAAATCCAACAGTTTTTAAAAAAATTTCTAAAAAATAATTAATTTTCAAACAATCTGTCCGCCATTTTGGATCTTCCATTTTGAATTTTCAAAATCTGATTTCAGATTCGTAATCTGCGACCTCAAAAACCCCTAAATACCTAGTTTCATATAAATCCATTAATTTAAAAAAAATCGTATACCATCAAAAATGTGATATGTTTTTTGACGTTAGAAAGAAACGTACACATGCAGTAGCAAAACGGACTTCAGATTCGTGTTCAGCGGCCCAAAATACATGGGGGTAGGGTACTTTGATCTCCCAACCTGGGCAATTTTTTTTGTGTGGCTGTGCAATTGACTGCAATGTAAAGATATTTGGCATACAATAAATTCATTTTTAACTGTAATCGACAAATTTTATTCCATTCGGGGAAATGTCCATTTTATGGATTCGGAAAGAAGATCATTGGCAAAATGGTTGTCGAAAAATGTACATTCGCGTAAATAATAGGGAACGGTCTAGTAATTGTCTATTTTTCACACAAGTTGCACAATATACTATTCCTAAGTCATGCTATTGGTTCTTCCGTTAAATAATTACCCTTGAATCCATCAATAAAACTAATATCAATTTAAAATCTTTTTTAGATTGCATCGGTGACTATCCTCGTGATGAAATTGCTAAATCTGTGAGCATGCAACTTCTTCAACAAGAACATTTTGTGACAATAAATTGCAATTTATTACTCAATCAAATTGACATCAGCTCTAACAATGAATTGATGATGCTATTTTTCACAAGCCATTTTTTCAATAAAATATTAGAAAAATTAAGTAGAAATCTTGGTATACCTATCGAACCTTCTAAAATATATTTTCTTATGGAATATCTACAGATTTATTGTGTAGCACGTCACAATATGCAAAAAACTAAGGTAAAATTTTTGTTTTAGTTGTATTTTGTCTTTCATTTATAATATTCTTACTAAAAGTGAAAATAATTCACTTCAGTTTAATAGAAAAATAATAAAATCGAATTCTGGTACAAAAGTAAAAATTTTTCTGTTCTACTTTTAATTAAAATTTCAAACATTCTAGATAAATGATTCAAAGTATTTAATTATGTTATGAAAATACTAGTAGTCAAACCTATATAATTATATATGTATATAAAATTTAATATATTTTCTAATTAAAAGCGGTATTATCTTTCTAGAATGAAATTACTTTATTGATGCATCAATTACGGAGTATTGTTAAGAAAACAATGCAAGTGAAAGATCGAAATCATCATTCATCAACAAATACAAAATTAATATTATGTTATAAAATGATCTGTCAATCAATAATACAACAAATTGGCCTCTTTGCGAAATATGAAGAGGTGAGGGAAATTTATTATTTATATATCAATTTACTATTTTCAAATTTTCAGTATCATAAAAGTTCTAATTTCTAACGAACAGTTAGTGCTACCTTCATGGAAATATAACATAAATATTTTTTCAATAAAAAAATATTTTACTTATTTAAATATCATCATCGTTATTTCATTAATTATATATTCAAGCTAGGAATTGCATTAAATAGTTTGGGAATATTCTTCGTGTAGAATTCTTTCATACTATTTGGGATTAAGTTTTAAGTTAAAATTAACATATTTTAAATATAATTATCCTATTAATATTTGTTATACCTATTAATTTCAATTTATTCTATTTATTTGAGAATTGTAATTTGATAATGACTAAAGATGTTCAATTTTCTGTGAAATTTTGTATGTCTATACTATATAAACCTTACTGAAAATTCATATATAAGATCTTACATGGGATCGTATATAGGATCGTATTAAAAAACCCATATGACATCCCAGGTTGATTATAGGAAATTTCAATATAGATGTAAATCATCATAGTTCCATGATCATCATAGTTCGACTTACGCCGCCAGAGGGTGATAATTCTTTCTCTCACAGTTAAGATCAGTCTTGAATACTATAAAAGCTGAGACTCTAACTCAGAAGGTGTATTGCAATGCACAAATTTTTTTCTTTTCAGAAGAATTGCAGTAATATTATTTGATTTTTAATTTTTGAAAACTGACGTTTGCATAAAGCATCCAACTGAAAATTTCCATATGAATCCACATAAATTCCTATGTAGAATCACAAATGCAAATTCCTACATAAATTCATACTCAAAATCGTGTCCCAATTTTACATACGGTTTTTTTAATGAATTTTCATATGGATTCCTATAATTAACCTGGGATTTCATATGGGTTTTTTTAATAGTATTCCATATAGGATCCCATGTAAGATCTTATATAGAAATTTTTAGTAGGGTTTTTTTGCTATCATTTTTAAAAGGAAACAATAGTTTTGTACAAAAGAAAAAGAAAAAACAACATTTTTGCTATACCTACAACAAATGTTTGAAAACTTTTTTTAAATCGTTAAGAGAAAAATAGTATATTGTGCATCAAGGGAAGAAAGTTGTTCTGTTACGAGTGAAGTTAGTTGCCCGAGGCCTCGGCGCGCGCCGAGGCCAAGGGCGGCATATCTTCACGAGTCAAACAGAACAATTCTTCCCGTGATACACACGATATTTTTCATCACAGATGAGTGAATATGCTTACTTTCCGAAGGTGTAGAGTAAGAAGAAAGGGCTGTTAGCAAGGGGTGGTAAATAAATATCAACAAATATAATCCACAAATATGAAAAGATACGCAGATCGTCACAGAACTACTGACAAGCAGACAAACAGAATGAATGGCGGGGGGGTTCGGGGGGGCTTGCCCCCCCGACGGAATCCAGGGGCGAAGCCCCGGTCGGGGGTTCGGGGGGCGAAGCCCCCTGACCCCAAAGAAACGGAGCTCAAAAGATTAATTACTTTGCTAATTATAAATAAACTTTCTTACAATTTAAAAAACACGCTGTTGCGAATAGCCAAGTGTGAGAATTTTTTGGGGGGCGAAGCCCCCCTGAACGAAATCGCGTACATGGCGGGAAATAATTTATTATAGATTTTAACATTTTCTGAGAATGAACAAAATTTTTCTTAGTTATAATTTATTAATTTTACATATTTATTATAATTTGAATTAAAAATGATATATTTGAACCTGAATATTTAAACATTAATTTTTGGATAAGTTTAAAATTTAATTCTTTTTTTGGACATCGGGAATCGTAAAAGTGCCAACCGATCCAATATTAATGTTGTAAATCGTTTGGTTTACAAATTTTTTTGTTGGGGAATTGAGATTCTCTTCTGTCTTTGAATCCTTCGATGTTGATGCGTTACCATCATCGCTTGCGGAAGATTTGCAATTCCTCTTCTTGGAATTGGAATTTATGCCTTGCATAATTTCTCGTGATCGCTTTCTCTTGTTACCGATGGAATCATCGATATAACCTTGAGCAACTTGATCCGACTTCCAACCACCGTGATTTTTTATGGAGAGCATATCGGCTCCACGTTCGGCAAGCATTGTCGTTGACGATCTTCGGAAACTGTGCCCAGTGTACGACTCAGGTTCTTCTAAACCTAAGTAACGAGCAATTTTTTGCGGCATATGGCCAATCTTATTTTTGCCAATAACCTGCTGAGTACACCGGCCTTTCTGATAATTTAGAAAGAATCTTGAGGTTTTCACATCCTTTGGTCGCAGATCCATATATTTTTTTACGAGCTGATAATCCTCAGATTCAATAACAAACGATCTTGGACGATGTGTTTTCGTATCCGGTATTTTTATTAAAAATGAAGATCCAATGTCTTTTACGTCATCTACGATAAGATTGCAAAGCTCTCCACCTCTGCATGCTCCACATACACCAATGATCAAAACGACCTAAATGCAAAAAAGATAATTAATTTCTTAATTTACGCATTTTCAACCCGTTGACATAACAAGTTACAGAAACAAGTATTTCAAATCAAAATTATGTTTATTGGATTAATAAAAATCAGTACTTCATTTAAAAGTTAAACAAAAAAATAAAAAATTTTTTCACATATTTTTTAAACAAAATATTATTGAACAAAAACCAAGAAACATAATATTAAAGATTATACTTGTACTATGTAATAAAACGAGATTTTAGTTTGAGATTATGTTATGGTGTTAAATCTCCTTAATTAAATATTTATAGATTTTATTTATATACAATTAATGTAATGTAAGTTTACTTACTTTTATGTCTAAATATTCTGTGTCATCAGCTTCCTTCAAAAATTGTTCAATTTGATCAGACGTCAAAACTTCACTTTTTTTGGGATTGTAACCTGTATTTTTTTCTTCAAAAATGCTAATAGTTGTTTGTAGTTTTTGATGTCAATATTTTTTTTCTTATTAATCGTCGTTTTAAGCATTGAGTAAATTGACCAAAGTGTGCTAGGCTTGTATTTCTCTCCCAATTGGTGAAAATATGAGAGTAAAACTGCTTCCGCAAATGATTGCGTTCCTTGTTTTTCTTGCCACGTTACAAATGTGTCATAGGTCGCTTCATATTTTACTCGCGACTTGTCAGGAAGCGATTCTTGAATCGCAAGATTCGCTTCTTCAATCAAGTGAATCGGAATTTCACCGTCCGTCATAATTGCACTCTTTTGTTTACATACACGACATATGAAAATGAAATGGCTGATTGTACTGATCATACCACCCTGAACGTAGCTGCATTTAACAAGTTGATGTGAGGTTAAGTAATGTATTCTGTTAGATGGCGCCACTTATTACTAACAATCACCTGTTTTATAGGGAAGAAAGTTTTTTCTTCCCTGTCCCTAGGGAGAAAAGTGAAATAAAACGATCTGTGCGCATGCGCGAAAATTGTTTTCTACCTCTTGGGTTGCTAAAAGCCACTTTCTTCTTGCTCTACAGCTTCAGAAAGTAAGCCAATTCATGCATGTGTGATGAAAAAAAATTATATTATTGCTTATTATCGCATGATATAGCAGTTAGATTGTATTTTTGAGTTTAGTTATAAGTAGAATGGTAGAATGTAAATAGAAAAATTGTCATTATCGAAAATCAGATACCACATTCTATTGTTCCAGGAGTGCAGTATTGCTGCTGACAGCTTTTACTCCACACTACGGATAATATTAAACTTGTTAAGGATAAACACACCTACTGATATGTGGTCCAAATTGGATTCAGCAGTATGCTTTCCTCTTCAAGCTGATAATAGTGCAGTAAGTTATCATATTCAACTTAAACCGGAACTTATATTTATGCATCGTTTTGAGCTTCTGTCGAAAAAATACAAGTTGGCAATACTAAGGACCGTACAAACTGTATGTTTTCTTTTCGTCGACATTTTTTTAAAACAAAACACTTCAATTTGTACCACGCTTAAGTTTTTATTTCTGAGCATCGCATAAATTCAAGTTGCTTAAATACAAGTTTCGGTGTACAAGTCCGTCAGAGGGTTACCTGACGATGTTTATAAAAAATAGTACATTATTTTGTAAAAAGAGGACAAAAGAGGACAGACGATTATAAAAAAAGAGTATAAAAGGAGGACATTAAAAAATGGGCCTTTTATTATCACAGAAAAAAAGGTGGGTAAAAAGTTGTAAAGATAAGAGGATAAAAGTCGTTAGGATACAGGGTAAAGGATAAATTTGTGATGGATAAAAATGTTACTAAAATATTACTAGAAAAATGGATGTCATATTTGAGTAAACTGTCTAATTTTAATAAAATCATTAGTAATTTTACACTTAACTTATTAAATCCACAAATATTATGTAAATAACTAATTGCACGTGGAAATATTTTGCCTATAATTATTGTCTATTAATAAAAAAATCTTTGACTAATATAACTGACAGCTAACGACAGTGCGTAAATAATCAGAACTGGGAACTTACAACTCAACGTCTGTGTTGCACGAAAGCAGAGTTGGGTAGTAATTGAATTTTTTGTGCATATTAGGCTGTGTCAGTTCATCGAGATATTTCGAGTTCAAGATATGACGACAGAGGCCTGGAAGGACAACAAACAGACGACACAATGTTATTCTTACGGGGAAGAAAATTTTTTTCCACTTTCATCAATTGATTCCGATTCTGGACGTTGTGCTGTTCAGATCGGACATTTTGTTTGTTTTTTTGATTTTGTTTAAACTTTTTGCTTTTTTCTGTTTTTGCATTTTTTTATGTTATTTTTGAGGGAATGTCCCTCTAGATGCTTTTAATATACTTTTTGTTTTTGAAGTGCTTTTGCTTTAACTTACCTCATTTCTTTGAAGCGTCATAGAACAGTGATCAATTTTAAATCCATCTGTATTTAACAGATTAAATATGAATCGCTTTTAATAATAAATTTTTAAGCGTTCAGGGAATAATTTTTCTCTTGTTCTTTGCTTATTTTACTATTTTACAAAACTTTTGAGCACGTGGTTACATAACCTTAAAGGGCCTTTTGGTTAACCTCAAAATTTTGTGGAGTCAATTAAGGAACACTGTATGCTGTCTATTGAGGGTTTTACTGATGCTTTTCTCTTCTGTATCTGGATTACATCATTTTATACCTTGCTGCATTATGAGGATTATTGGCCATAAATTAAATTGGATTAATGCATTAACTTCTGCATTCCTGTCATGAGGACTGCTGTTTGGCTGCTTGCTTTTCCTTCCTGCGTCCGCATGATTTGGTCTGCTTCTCAAATTTAACCTTTTTTCCTTTTTTTCAAATTTTATTAAATACATTGTAAAGATTCTAGTTTTGAGTTACGCATTCATCTTACTTAATTAAATTTCAAATTAAAAATTTATTTTGGATTATACTTAATTTTTAATTTAATCGCCAGATAATTTTACATCTAATAATAAAAAATTTTTTCTAAAACATTTTGATACACTTTCTCCTTTTTCTGCTTCTGGAGACATTGGTAAAAAGAGACCTCGTGATACCAGTGACTCACGAGACTCTAATTCCACTAATTCTTCTATCTCAAATGATTCCAATAGGCCTGTTGGCAAAAAAACTTCAATTCCTTCTGAATTAAAAATCGGTACTGGGCCTTCTGCTCCTCGTGGTACTGCATTGTGGGGATTGTCTATTGGTCTTTCTGCTCCCTCTGGCTCTAACGTGAGACCTTTGACTTCCTTCAATATTGGACAAGATGGTCGAAATGATGATAGGATTTTTTCTAATCAATTAAACCAAGACTCTTTCTGGTTTAATGACAAATTTGGTGATATTTCTAAGAGATATAGCTCATTCAGCTCTCCCCCCCCATTTGTTGTTCTTATGGAGAGTACCGTCTCAGGTCGTAATGTGGGAAAGTTGGATCCAGTCTGTGTTCTCAATTTATTGAACCCCTTTATAAACGGAGAAAAGTCAATTACAAGAAGCGGAATTAATCAATTGAAAATTACATGTGATAACTGGTTGAGTGCTAACAACCTTATTGATAAGAGAGAACTTTCTCTGGCAGGTTTCAGATGTTTTATACCAGATTCTTTTTTGGGAAAAAAGGGCTTCACTACCCTATTTCCTATAAATAGAACTATTCTAGAGATAGTCTCCTTCTTTGATAGTCCCACATTAAACAACATAATTTCTATTAAGAGAATCTTTAATGGTCAAACTCGGACTGACCGGGTGGAATTTACTTTTTGTACTAGGGCTGTCCCAAGCTGTATTTCTATGAGTGGCTATGATTTACAATTAATTCCGGTCATACCGAGACCAAGAAGATGCTTTAAATGCCAAAGATTTTGCCATACTCTCAATCAGTGTCGATCTACATTCCCTTCATGTGAATTTTGCGCAGGGAGACACCTTACAAAATTTTGTCCTAGAAAGAATGCGAGACCTTGCTGTAAGAACTGTAAAGTTCCTCATATTGCTTCATCAAGTGATTGCCCGATTTTCGGGTTCGAATTTGGTATTCTTAAACTTAGAACTACCCTTGGTTGTTCTAGAGATGAAGCGAGATTGATGATATCTTCGGAAAATCCTGACTTATTCAGTGAGGTTCTTCCGAGGGATGACGGCTCCCTTATTGACTCCTTTAGTAATAATATTGTTACACTTGTTGAGGGTGATCAAACTGAATCCAATAATAACCCGCTGCATCTTCAACACTGGTACGCGATTTTGTCGGACTAAATGTTGGAGTGAATCAGAACTTCAGGAGACCCTTATCCCTACTCGAGGTCGCTAAGTCTCTTGGTGATGATGCTCTGACGAACAAATTAACTGCTGTTGATGAACTGTCCAATTTGAGTCAGTCTAAGTGTGACCTTATAGATTCGATGCGAAAAAACCTGTCTTCTTAACTTTCTCGCATTTTTCTTTATGTTCGTTGATTGTTCTCTTAGCGTTTATTAAACTTGTTTAAATTTAATTTTTTTGGATCTCTAATGGTATATTTCCATTATTTTCTTTAAAGAGGAGAATGAGAAGGAAAATATTTATTATTTACACATTGTTTTATTGATCTATTTAATTTTGTTTTTTTTATTTTATTTATTTTATTTATTTTATTTATTTTATTTATTTTATTTATTTTATTTATTTTATTTATTTTATTTATTTATATATTCATTTAAGCAGGAAAAGGAGAAGAAATATATTTATTCAATCATCTATTTATTTACTTGCTGATTTATTTACCTGTTTATTGGTTTATTTTATTTATTTATTGATTTATTTTTTTATTATCATTATTATTATTATTTTTTTGTTTTTTCTTTTTTGCTTTTTTGTTCTAGATATTATTTTATTTTTCTTAAAATGAGTGTTTTAAGTCCATTAGTGGACTGAAGTGAACCTCTCTAAGTTATACCTTATAGATTTGATGCGTTGAAGTTTATCTTTATGATTTATTTTCGTTTCTCTTTCAAATTAAAATTTTAATTGTTCTCTGGACGCTTATTAAACTTGTTGAAATTTAATTTTCGTTGGAATTCTATTGGAGCTTCTCCATTGTTATTTGGTTTAAAAGGAAAGAGAAGAGAGATAACTTTTTTCTCTATTCTGCTTATTTATTCATTTGTTTAATTGTTTTCTTTATTTGTTTATTCTTATTGCTGTTGATAGTGTTTTCTTTTTTTTACTTTTTGTTAAAATGAGCGTCTTTAAGTATGGAACTTAGAATGCTCGTAGTGTAGTAAATAAAAAGGCTGAAATTGAATCAATCCTCAGCTTATATAATTTAGATGTTTTAGCCATCTCTGAAACTCGGCTTTCACCACGAGTTCAGGTAAGGCAGATTCCTGGTTATAATACTTATAGGAAAGATCGTAATGATCGACAAGCTGGTGGTGGCTCCTTATTGCTAATTAAAAATACATTATTAATTACACCATTACATATAAATAATAAAGTTTTATCGCAAATTGATGTTGTGGGTGTCTTGATTAGCACAGAGTTTGGTCCACTGCAATTTTTGTCAATTTACGCCTCACCTGGGGTACAGGTAACATCATCAGTTTGGTCTGATCTCATCCAGAGCTTGTAATTTAAATGAAAAAATAATTTTATGCGGAGATTTTAATGCTCATGCTTGGCTTTGGGGTGCGAATCACAATGATCGTCGTGGCTCCTGTTTAGCTGTAGCAGTTGAAGATTTTGATTTGATTCCTTTAAATGATTGTATTCCAACTTTTAAAAGATCAGATGGAGTCAGGAGTAATCTTGATCTGATATTTGTGTCATCTTCTCTTGTCCAGGTTTTATCGGTTGAGGTTACTACAGATTCCTTTACTTCAGATCATCTCCTTGTGATTGCTGAATCCGATATTACACCTAAACTTATTAAATCAACTACTAATAAAATTAATACCAAGAATGTAGACTGGTTTAAATTTTCGGTTAGCATTGATAACAACTCTGCAACTCTTTTAAATGATCTAGATGACGGTGCAGATGTTAGGGATGTTTATAATAAATTTGCTTTACAAGTTAAGGATGTATTATATGATTGTGGTGCTTATGCTCCATCAAGTTTGCCAGGCAAGAGAAAGGTCAAACCACTTTGGTGGGACTCTGAATGTGATGATGCTCTGGAAAGGAGAAGATCGGCTAGAAGGGATCTTTTAGCATGTCAGAATTGTGATCTCTTATTAAAGGCATTCAAGGCATTTTCCAGCGCATTTCAACCATTGCGGACAGGAATTTGTAGTGACCCTAGCTCCGATGTTTTTAAAAAACTTCAGGAAGGGTTGGTTCAGGAAAA